ATCATGGGTCGCTAAAGTCCTGATGATAATTGTATAAAAAAAATATTTTCTTTTAGAATTAAATTGTTAAATGTAATCCTTCCCCGGGGATAACGTGTGACAATGAAACTCACGAACTTGCTGAATTGAGATACAATGCCAATTCTATATCCTTTTCCGTTTTTTTAATTTCTCTATTAGAACATTTTTACGGTTCTTTGGCCTTACAGAATACGTTTGCATCAAATGCAATATTAAAAGACATTTGTCCTTACCGTGTGAATTTATTTACGAGTGATCGTCGTAGTAATAAGATTAATCATAATTGCCTGGAGAATTTTCTGCGAATCTAATGAATCCAGTGCACTCGTCTGGAATAAATATTCCAAATGGGAACAAATAATGAAATAATATTTACTGAACACGGAAATTCTCTACTGACATTTGACCTTTTCAGTTGGGGGGGGTCGGATTAAATGCAATTAATTCCGAAAAAGAGATTCGAAATTGTGATTAGACCAGTTTTATTTATTTTTAAAACATTTTTTTTTGTTTTCTTCGTCTTTCTCACATTTTTCTTCTTTCACCATTTTTGGTATTGACTGGTTTGTTTAAATTTATCTCTTTACATATTTTTTTTTATTTATTTTACCGCAAATCAGTTTTCATTTTGTAGATTTGATTATTTGTGTTATTTTCATTTCTTTTTTTTTTTTTTTCCGTTTCTGAATATTTTGTTTTTTTTCTTTCAGCTTTATACAGGGTGGTCCGAAACTCTTGTCACCCTTATAAAATATAATTTTCTATTTCCGATGGCTGACACGAGCTCCTAAAGTTTGGAAGAGAGATAGCGGTGACAAGACTTTCGGACCACGCTGTATGTTTTTTTAGTTTGTTTTTTTTTTTCTCTTCTTTCTGTCTATTTTTTTTTCTTTATTTTCTCTTTCTTTCAATGTCTATTTTCTATTCTTTTTTCTTTATAACTTTGATTTTTTTATCTACTTCTTTCTTTCTTCCTTCCTTACTTTCTTCCCAATATTCAATACAAGTCTTCTTTCTTTCTTTTTTCTTTCTTTCTTCCCAATATTCAATACAAGTCTTCTTTCTTTCTTTTTTCTTTCTTTCTTTCCAATATTCTATTCATGTCTTCTTTCTTTCTTTTTTCTTTCTTTCCAATATTCTTTCCAACTCTTCTTTCTTTCTTTTTCTTTCTTTCTTTTTCTTTCTTTCTTTCTTTCTTCCCAATATTCTATCCAAGTCTTCTTTCTTTCTTTTTTCTTTCTTTCTTCCCAATATTCTATCCAATCTTCTTTCTTTCTTTTTTCTTTCTATTCTATCCAAGTCTTCTTTCTTTCTTTCTTTCTTTCTTTCTTTCTTTCTTTCTTTCTTCCCAATATTCTATCCAATTCTTCTTTCTTTCTTTCTTTCTTTCTTTCTTTTTTTCCCAATATTCTATCCAAGTCTTCTTTCCTTTTTCTTTCTTTTTTTCCCAATATTCTCTCCAAGTCTTCTTTCTTTCTTTTTTCATTCTTTCTTTCTTTCTTTCTTTCTTTCTTTCTTTCTTTCTTTCTTTCTTTCTTTCTTTCTTTCTTTCCAATATTCTGTTCAAGTCTTCTTTCTTTCTTTCATTCATTTTTTCTTTATTTCCATATTTTTTCTCTCTTTTCTTTCGAAAATAGTACCTATTTTCATTTAGACTCAACCTAATTTTTAACTCAAATGGAAGTCATACATACGATCCATCGCTAAAGAGACTGAAAAAAAAAGGTCGTTTCCCGGTATCTTTCCAATATTTAGCTGACACCTCCTGTTATCCTTAACATTTACAAGTGCGAGATTAGGCCAAAAATTGAGTCCTGTTGCCATATATAGACAGGAGCTGCTCAGGCTTCACTTTCCCGTCTCGACAGAGTCCACAAGCGTCTCCACGTCCTTGTCGTTGACAAATTATATTCCACCCTACAGTCGCTTTTCTCATAAACGAAAAGTCGCTAGCCACTCGCTGTTCTATTGCTATTTCCATGGAAAGTGAAAGTACATTTCTTATTTCTGTCAGTTCTAACCTTCACGCTTAAGACCCGCCATGCTAAGTACTTTACAGCCAACCAGACTCCTTCCTTTTGTATCATATTGGTGAGATGGAAGTTACACTTGAGCATCTTTTCCTACAAAGCGCTGCTCTGTGGAACAGACTCCCGAAAGGATGCTTCGCAATCACTATAATCTTAACCTGCTCAAACCTAGAGTTAACAGTTATCTTCCTCACATATCCGTATAAACAATGCTTCTTAATCTGTAACCCTCTACCTCGAGTGGCTCTTGGGCCTTGTACATAAATTATTATTTCCTCCCTTCTGTTATCGTTACCATGTATTCACTCATAATTTATATATTTTATTATAATCTTTTATCATTTCTATATTGATATGTAAGTAACTGCCTAATTAACATAGGTAAGACATAGAGACTATATAAATGCCCAAGCAGTAAGGGGAGGGGTACAATGCGATACGTGAGTCGATATCGTATATCGTATCTAGTTTATCATCTCACAGTTATGTCGCTGTTTTCCGGACAGAGCGCAACTCCAAATTTGAAAGGTGTCCTGTCCCCTGGTACAGCTGCCGGGACTTCCTTCCAATTTCCTACTTCCCCGCCATTTACTATCTTCAAAAATATAAATGCAACATCAATCGATATCTTCTGTTTTCCTGAATCCGGATCCGTTATTGTCCTTTTTTCACTTCTTCTCAATAAGGTCTTCTCATTCTCTTTCACTTGCTGTAACACACTGGGTCTTAGTGGCATTATGAGGTGAAAAGATTTAAAAAATGACTTAAATTTCCAGAAATTATTCTTCATGTTTACCGTATCGTTCCGGCCGAGCCATTCTTCGTTTTTTTTAACGGCATAATCCTAAAATAAACTAAAATAATTGATGGCAAATATGACGACCGTGTGCTCTGATTCATATCATGTCGAACCAGAAAATCTTATTTTTATAAGCCCATATCTTTTTTAGATTCTTTCTTTATCGTTTCCAAATCCAGGCCGTACTAAAATCAACAATGGCATGAGATATACACATCTCCGCCGGGTTAACGTATATTATTAACATATGATATACAATGAGAAATTGTTAACTTACAAAACCCAGATACTAGAAATAACGACTGGATCACTGACAATTTCCAGAACCTATGTCAAAATAAGATATGGAAAACGTTTCTAATTAATGTTTGGCGGGATTTCAATCCTCCTCCTTAAAATAGTGGTGGTTGGTCGGCCAATTAACTCAGACCTTTACTGTGAACAGCTGGACAGAACGTCATCTCCTTTGAAGAAAGAAATACCCACCACGCTTTGATCAATAGTGATAGAACTCTTCTATAACATAACAATAACTACTTGAACGACTTAGAAAACTCTTGAAAATCTCAAACTGCTGCAACATCTGCTCTCATGTTTTGCTATGCCTCTCGAGATCCCCGATAAAATCCAAAAGAGAATTTGCAATATAATCGGTCATGACCTGGCATCTTTGTTTCATCACTTTCCCACTGTCATAAGGTAGTTTGTGCTTTTTCTATAAATAGTTTCATGGTAATTGTTCTGATGAAGTTTCTGCTTTGATGCTTAGATTTTATGAATGCCAGCGTAGTGCTAGATTGGCAGTTAGGTCTCATCATATTACAGATGTAATGGGTCGATGTAACCGTAACCTCTATGCTAAAAATGTATTTTCTTGCAACTCTCATTTCCGGCTTTTTGCATTTCCAGTTAATCTTTAAAAATTCAAATGAAGTATACATCGTCACCTGTCTCCTTGTTCTATTATTCTCTTCTTTGTTTCTTTCGCTGTAAATAACCCCTTGTGTCTTGGTGTTTCTATTGTCTTAGTTGAGGCAAGTGATAACAAAAAGAATTAGCCTTACATCACACAATGCACACCACGTTTTGCTCTTTCGGACAGCAACTATCCTGGAATGTAACTTTATTTGTCAGTGAAAATACATGTATATATACATATATATACATGTATATATACACATACATATATATAAATGTATATATATATATACATCTATATACATATACATATAAAACTGAAATTCTCAATGTATGTAGACATAAAAAATCTTGGCTACTAAATTAGACGTTTTCCCGTTATTGACTTTCCACTGAGGATTTTTTTTTGGTTGAATAAATATTTATCCCCCCCTCACTTTAGGTTTTTTGTTTTTTGTTTTTGTCACGTGGTATGATTTTAGCTATCACCTATAAATATGTGTGTCTCTTTGCCTCGTTAGCCAAACTTTCCCTGACGATCCGTTTAGGTGAAACCTAGGTAGGTTTGTCTGGCTCACTAGGTGTATCTACATATATATATATATATATATATATATATATATATATAAGATATATATATATATATATATATATATATATATATATATATATATATATATATATATATATATATATATATATATATATATATATATATATATATATATATATATATATATATATAAACACATATATATATAAATGTGTGTGTGTGTTTCCTGGGGGGGGCATTTTACAAAACAATACATCAAGTGTATTAGTTGTCCATCATAACGAGATTGACAACAATTTTGAAATAAAAAATTCTACTCTAATCCCAGGAGAAAATAATTCACTACAAAGAAAAGGTTTAAAAAGTGCCTTGATCGCAAGGTCATCCACATTGTGTCCTTGTTCTAACAGTATTTCACTATTCCTGGTAGAACTTATATTATCACAGTTTGGGATATCTAATGACGAAAGTCATGGAAACAAAAAGAAAAAAAATGTAAATGAAATCGGCTATTTTTTTTTTAATTAATAACTAAAATATTTCAAATTTTAAATTCTCCGCATCCCTCCTTTGTGCGCATGTGTAGTCACACCAAGATAACAAATTTAATCCGATTAAATTTAAAAGGACGAAACGCATCACATGAAAGCTATATTCCACATTATCATACATGTTTCCTCTATATACACAGACAGATAGATAGATAGATAGATAGATAGATAGATAGATAGATAGATACGAACAGATTGAAACAGAAATAAACAGATATAGGTAGATAAATATTTCCGTCATCTACTGATGGGTGAGTTGTTCCCCTTTACAGCTTTTTTCAATCAGCTGATTGGAAAAGAATCATCTGGAAACGTGAATTTGTCTTTCAATAAATCATTAATTCACTTAAAGTGGTTTCGATTATTACTTTAACAGTTCGCGTGTTTGAATTATTTAACTCGTTTGACCCCGAATCTTTACGGCATATTTTCTCTTTTAGTGTAAAATTCCTGGAATACAGTTGGTTAAGACAAAATTTGAATGTAAAAACAAAAACCAAAAAAAAAAAAACAAACAAACAAAGAAATGTAAGATGAGAAAGTGAAAAACAGAGAAAGAAAGAAAGGAAACAACCAAAACAAAGAAAATGAAAAAATGTGGAATGGCTGAGAACATAGAAAAAGGAAAAGAAAGAAAGTAAAAGATTAAAAGAAGAAGAAAAAATAAAAGAAGCAACCAGACAAAATAAAGTCAACAAGAAATGGCTGAAGAAAGAAAGAAAGAAGGCGTGGAAAAAGCTAAAAAGGAAAAGAAAAAAAGAAAGAGTTATATGTAAACTAGATGAAAAGGGAAAAAGCAAAAAAAAAAAAAAAGTAAGAAAAAAATACATATAAACTGTCCGAAAAGGGAAAATGCAAAAAAGAAAAAGAAAAAAGATATAAAGATTTTTAAAAGATTTATATATAAACTGGATAAATAAGGAAAAAGCTATCTGTCTATATTTCTGAGATGAGGTATTATGTACACTACTTACATTATTCGGACAATTGTCCTCATCTTTGTTACCATATTTACTACAACGTTTTGGCCTTTCGGTATCTGTCTATATTTCTGAGATGAGGTATTATGTGCACTATTTACATTATTCGGACAATTGTCCTCATCTTTGTTGCCATATTTATTACAACGTTTCGGCCCTTCAGTATCTGTCTATATTTCTGAGATGAGGTATTATGTACACTATTTACATTATTCGGACAATTGTCCTCATCTTTGTTACCATATTTACTACAACGTTTCGGCCCTTCAGTATCTGTCTAGATTTCTGAGATGAGGTATTATGTACACTATTTACAATATTCGGACTATTGTCCTCATCTTTGCCATATATTACAACGTTTTGGCCTTTCGGTATCTGTCTATATTTCTGAGATGAGGTATTATGTGTACTATTTACATTATTCGGACAATTGTCCCCTCATCTGTTTTGTTGCCATATTTATTACAACATTATTCGGACCCTTCTTTGTTACAGTTTCGGCCCTTCATCTGTCTATATTTCTGAGATGAGGTATTATGTACACTATTTACATTATTCGGACAATTGTCCTCATCTTTGTTACCATATTTATCACAACGTTTCGGCCCTTCAGTATCTGTCTATATTTCTGAGATGAGGTATTATGTGCACTATTTACATTATTCGACCATATTGTCCTCATCTTTGTTACCATATTTATTACAACGTTTCGGCCTTCAGTATCTGTCTATATTTTACATTATTCGATGAGGTTTGTTATATTTATTACAACGTTTCGGCCCTATTTACATTATTCGGACAATTGTCCTCATCTTTGCCATATTTATTACAACGTTTTGGCCCTTCAGTATCTGTCTATATTTCTGAGATGAGGTATTATGTACACTATTTACATTATTCGGACAATTGTCCTCATCTTTGCCATTTTATTACAACGTTTGGCCTTTCAGTATCTGTTATTTCTGAGATGAGTGTAATGTTTTACATTATTCGACTATTGTCCTCACGTTTTTACGCTTTCCGGACGTTTTACGCTCCGGCCTTCTTCAAGTGGTTGGAATGTCGAACTGAACCCTTTATTTCAAGGACACATGGCACAGTGGATA